TAATGGGATGGCTGGGTCAAATGATATTTCTAATTCCAACTTTTGAAGGAATCGCCATACTGCTTTCCACAATGGCTGTACCATTTTACAGTCTGTGGGCTGGTTTTTAACACTGATGTGTACTGTGGCTATAGTTGTCAGTTCCAGAAGGACATATTGACTAGTTTGGGAGCTGCCAGTGGTATTTGTCATTGAATGTAAACATATAATATGACAGTACTAAATAAATAACTTTTAAGAGTGAGACTAAAAAGTTTATTTTCAAGAGGTAGAAACTACATACATCAAAATAATTACAGTGATTATCATCTGTGTACTAGGATTCTTTAGTTGTAACAGTCAGTATCCCAAGTCAGCTAGCATTAAGCAAAAGAAGGAATACAGAAAAAATTAGCTCTGCAGTTGGGGAATCCAGTGTTGGATTTGGTAAGGCATAGCTGGATCCAAGGATCTAAAGGCTGTCATTAGGACTTTTTTCTGCTGTCTCTTTTTTCAGTCTTTTAAATTCTTCTGTTTTAGCTTTATTTTCAGGAATATTCTCCACATGATGTCAGAAGAGTCTGATACCTTCAAGATCTTGAGCTATGATCCCAGAGAAAAAAGATTAATCCTGTATCCCTCAAAGCCCATAGCAATCACTAAGGAGAATTGTAATTGGCCCTGCTAGAGTCATGTGAGGAGCTCTGGTGGCATAGTGCTTAAGGCACTTGACTGCTAACCAGAAGGCTGGCGGTTCAAACCCACCAGCCACTCCTCGGAAGGAAGGTTGGGTAATCTACTTCCGTAGTGATACTGCCTCGGCAGCCCAAGGAGGAGGCATCACTATGAGTCAGGTCCGACTCGACAGCAAATAACAGTAACAACAGAGTCATGTGACCACCTCTAGCCCAATCACTGTCCATTTGCATAGGCTTTCTGGTTTGGGTGGGGGATAAAGAAAGTGGGAGAAATATGGTCCAGCATGAATGACATGAAGCAGGGGAGATAGTTCCCAAAACAAAAATATATTGAGAACCAAAAAGAAATTGAGGTTTCCAGTACATCCCTCTAGTTCATGTTAGTATTTCTTTTCTGTATTTCCCTTGTTAGAAAATTAACAAGCATTATGCTTGTAAATCCGAAAGATAACTTTTTAAAAACTGTTCTCCAAAAAAGAATAAAATACTTAGGAATAAAGAATAAATTTAATAAAAGAATATAAGACTTGTATATTAAAAATTACAAAAACACTATTGAAAGAAATTTGAGAGTACTTAGGTAAATAAAATGTATTCATGGCATAGTGGTTAAAACATTCAACTGCTAACCAGAATGTTGGCACTTGGAACTTACCAGCTTCTCTGCAGGAGAAAGATGAGGCAGTCTGCTTCTGAAAAGATTTATAGCCTTGGAAGCCCTAAGGGGCAGTTCTGCTCTGTCCTGAAGAGTCACTATGAGTTGGAATAGACTCCATGGCAGTGAGTTTGGAAGTAAGTGAAGGGAAATCTCATGTTCGTACATCAGAAGACATAATATTGTTAGGATGAGAATACTCTCTGCACTCTGATGTGCATGTTCAATTCAATCCATACCAAAATCTCAGGGTGGTTTTTTTTTTTTTCCCCAAGAAATTGATTATGTCATTCTAAAATTTATATGGAAATGTAAGGGACTCAGAATAGCAAAAACAATTTGAAAAATGAAAAAAGTTGGAGTACTTACACTTTTTGGGAATAAATCTTACCAGGGACACAAAAGACCTGTACAAAGAAAACTATAAAAAACTACTTCAAGAAACCATAAGAGAACTACATAAATGAAAGAACATCCCATGCTTGTGAATAGGAAGATTGAACATTGTGAACATGTCAGTTCTACCCAAAACAATCTATACATTCAATGTAATCCCAATCCAGATCCCATCAACATTCTTTAGGGATATGGAAAAACCAGTCACTAACTTTATATGGAACAACCAGAAGCTCTGGTAGCATAGTGCCTAAGGCACTTGACTGCTAACCAGAAGGCTGGCAGTTCAAACCCACCAGCCACTCCTCGGAAGGAAGGTTGGGCATTCCT